CCCGCATACCTTCCACTCTCTCCTCCTCCCTCACCCCTTTCGTTCTCTCTCACTTCTCCCCCCGTCGCCACTACAACAGCGAGGACGGCAAGTTCCTGGCGAAGCGGCTGTCGGTCCTCCTGAGCTACGCCACCGGCGTCGTCGCCGCAGACTCGGCCGTGTTCGTGGACTTCGACACGCTGCCCTCCACCGCCGCCTCCCTGAGCCAGACGCTGCAGTTCTTGCTCGCGGAGGAGGCCCGGCCGCTCAGGGCGGCTCTCGTGGGAGAGGTTCGTGTTTTTTTTTCTATAAAGCTGTGTGTGTAGTTTTTTCTTTTGTTGTACGAAGTATTGCTGTACGTGGGTCTGTTCGGAGAAGAGGGAATGTTCGGATTCGTTTTCGGTTTTGTGTGTTCGTGTGTGTCTTGTTTTGTTTTGTTTTGTGATGTTATTTTATTTTTTCCCGTTGCGAATCGCCCGTCCTCTCGCTGCTCCCGATCATACAGAAACTGCCGTAGGTGCCAGCCCAACCACCATCCAGCTATGCCTGGCACACCATCATTTAGATTGTCAAGGCGTTCATGCGTGGGAGGCTCATGAAAAGCAAATACCACGCTCCTCCTCTTTGTAGGGATACGAGGCCAATGGCTTCACAACTACGGCATGCACGCCTATTAGAGTATCTCCCCCTTCCCCCCTCTCTTATCCGCCGTGACCCCCCCCCCCTCGGCCCTACCGCCTCCTCCGCCCCGCCGAACATACCTCCCGCCCCACCGACGACAGGCGTCGAACGCGGCCGACCTGGTGCTGAGGAGGGGCACGAGGCAGGCCGTGGTGAGGGCCAAGGACCTCCTCCGCCCGCCCCCGCCCCCTCTCCCGTTCCTACCACGGCTCCCTTCGCTGCCGTTCCCGGTGCCGGAGTCTGTGGTCGACGCCCTCAGCCCCAAGCTCACGGTGGAAGAGGTGTGTGACAAAAGGGTGGCCTACGAAGTCTAAACGCTAGACCACAAACGAAAATCGAATTTTATGGGTACAGGTGTGTGCCTGTGTTGTGGGTGTGTTTGTTGATGCAGGTTTGTTTGCGTCTCTGCTAATATTTCACCAACTGGCGTGAGAGGCGATCGATCGCATAATATCCGTGTCTGTTGTTATTTTTGTTGTTAGCGCGAGAGGTTTTTATTTACTGCTGTTTTGTTGGTATGATTGAGTGAGTGTACGCTCGGTGGTTCCAAGTTGGCGACCTCGCAGCCTTCTCACGTTTAGCCACACCCATACATGCATGAGTGCGAGTTTGGACGCAAGTCGTTCGGACTCTGGGAGTTTGCCTTCCTCGCATCATGCTTCACAGAACTGCGGAAAACGAAATAGATTTTGCCGTGCGTGGTGGATGTTGACGATCCGAATTCTCCACGATCGACTAGGGAACGGAACCGCTGAATCCTTCTGACGATGGAACTGACCGCTTGTCTCTATTTTTCCCCTTTTCTTGAGGATATTTTCCTCGCGAGCCTTGAAGAGTTAGCGTACGCGTTGGCGGGGATCGAGCAGGGGACGGTAAGCGACAATCCCCTGGCGACGATACGACAGCTCCTGCAGGCGGGAAGCGACGGAAGCGGCGGCGCGGGGGGTGAGACACGGACAAGAGGAAAAGGGGCGGTGTGGGTGAACGG